TCGCCTATCTGCTGCTTGGTTCGCTCCTGGGCGCCCCCTATCATGCGCAAGTGGGCGTCATCTGTCAGCCGAGTGAACCGAGCAGGATCTTTCAGCCCGACTGTGGTGGTGAAAGGCTGCAGCACGAGATGTTCACGAGCGATCGAGTGAAAACAGGCGAGTCTCTCAGCGAGGACGCAAGCTTGTCTCCAAATGACTCTAGCGACCGATCGGCACGCAGCGTGCATGGCGAGGGGCTCCAGGGGTCTCTCAATCACGATCGAGTCTCGAGCGTAGCTAGCTGCGTCTTTCGTCGCCATCCGATGGGAATCGATTAGTTGCGGCGCGGACAGGTCCTCGCGGGAGGCCTGGGCCACAAGCGCGCTTGATGAATTCGGCGTATTCTGGCGCGCTGAAAGGGTCAGGGTGCACTGGCCTATCTTCTGGAGGTGAGGGGCGACGAAGAAAGATGGATATCATCACAACGGAGTGGCCGGATAGCTGAGTTTGACGATGTACTTCGGGAAGGCCGTGCTCGCGCGTGACCGAGGATAACTGTGTTAGGCCCCGCCCTGGCCACGACGCAAAAGCACGATCGATGCTCGATGCGCGAGAGCGTCTGCAGAGAAGCATGGAAGTGCGCGAAATCGTCGCTCTCGAGCTCCGCTAGGGACTTCACCTCAGTATCCCAAGCATTGCTAGAAGTCCGTCGAGGATCTGAGGGGCTACTTGGGGACCCAGGGCCGGGGCGCTCGGGATCCCCGGGCTCGGCGGTAGAGACAAAGTGGTTCAAAAGGACAGGCGGGCTACTCGCTATGTTGAAATCCCCGTGCGCAACCAGTAGCTTGCGAAGAGGATCATGTTCGGCTGTCTGGAGATCGTTCCGGATGCTTCTGAAAACCCGATCCCGAGCTCCCGCGGAAAGCGCCGCAGAGACGCGGGGAACCCGACCTTCTACAAGTGCTTCTTCAGAGACGCGAGGAGGAGGATGATGGAGGGCCTGGAAGTTGGGGAATAACGCAGTGACTCCACCAGCTGGGTGTCCAGGGACCGAAGGGCAAAGCGATGTTTTAGCCAGGGTTGGACGGCGAAGGTGATAGAGGTAGTCGTCAACGCGAAACTCATCGCCATGCGATTTCTGGACAGCCACGATCGAGCAGGGAGAGCAGCATTGAAAGGTCGCTCAGCATGCGGTCCCTCGCGCGCGAGCTGTTGTGATGAAGTGTTCGGGCATTCCACGCGGTTCGCGTCAATGCCGACCCAGTAGGCAGTGATCCCCCCACTGCCTGAAAAAGTTGTCAAAGGCTCCACTCGACTTCCTGCGAGTTCGCAAGGATGGGCTTTATGCGGTCGGCGATGAGGTTTTTATATATCTGCAGCTCAGCCAGGTTCGCAAAGGCCCACTCCACTTTGTGGTCCGCATTCGCACCCGGGATGACGCGCAGCAGAGGCTCGCTTCCACTTGTGCGATAGCTCGCCCCTCGCTTTGTTGGCGAAGAGCACAACGCGAGGGTAGGGGTCGTTGATGGTCCGTCGCAGCTGCTCGAGCAAGAGTTCGGTCTTGACTTGGTACAAGGATTTGTCAATGGAGACGTGCACCTCGACGGCATTGTTGAAGGCGTCCCGAGCAGAGAAGCGCCTCCAGCCGTTGGGCCCGATCTTGAGCTGGGCGAGGCACTGGTTCACCTTCCGAGGGGCGTAGCCAAGGGCGCCTTTAAACTGCAAAGAGGACTTTTCCGAGCTCGGCTCCGAGACGATGTCGAAGTTGTCGGCGGAGCAGTTGGCGGCGAGCAGCCACTCGTGCAGGCCGTCGGCAAGACTCTCCTTGGCGACCAACGTCTTGGTGCAGCAAATGATGATCGTCAAGTCGGGGTCTCCTTGGAAGGACGTGCTGACCTCGATCTTCGTCGGGGTCTCGGAGCGCATGATGCCAAGCTCGGTCTGCATGGCCGAAATCTTGGCGTCCAAAGCTTGAATGAGAGCAGCTTGTTGAAATTGAATGGCTTCAACGCGAGACATCCTGGTCTTCACCTGCTTCCCCAAGTTCGAGCAACTCGTCTGGGCGGTGGCTGCCAGCTGGGAGACGGAGGTCCGAATGGCGCTGATCGCACTAAGCAATTTATCTTTTGTGGTGCCCGCGTACTCGCGAATGTCACTGCGGCCATCCCGTCGGCCTCGCCTGCACCAGCACTCCCCTGCGCTGGACCGCGAGATGGGGCTTGACGTCGGCCTGCTCCTGCAGAGGGCACTCCGCCTGCAGCGCAGGCTGCGGCAGAAGAGGCGCCTCCAGAGCGGGTAGATCCCAACACCACTCGTTTCTGAGGTGGCTCACGAGTTGGACTGTCAGTAAAACGGCCAGGAGGGGGCGCTGCCAAGGCTGGTGCCTCTTCGCGGTCTTCCTGGGACGAGAACGTTGGCATGAGGTCGAGCTCATCGTCGAGAGCGGCGAGGGCGGCTGCAGCAGCTGCAACACTAACGTCCTGAGAGGTACCCATGGCCGCTGCCCGGGGGTCGACATTCG